TAGGCCCAGTAATGCAGAGGCAGGAAAAGGGTCCCGCCTCAAGGTGTTTGCATTATTTGCCTTTTCTTCGGTCTGGCCCTGGATTCTAACTTTCCCTGTTCTATAATAAACATATTTTTTTTCTCTATGTGCCCCCATTGCATATCTATGCCCTCAATGTTTTGTCTCATTGATCCCCATCACTGGGGTTGAAAGTAATGCAAATCTTCCCAGACAGGGGCACAGACAGCAGTAAAATCTGACACAGTTCTAAACCTTCCCCACTCTACTCAAAAGAAAGGTAAAACATCTGCTGGGGTTGCTTTTTTAAGTAGGATTAGAAGAGGTAATATTTCTTTCTGAATGACAATGGGTGTTCATAATTAAAACTGAGTGCTCTTTGGATGTGCACAACATGACTGCAAAGGTAGTGCACTGTCATCTGGTCACTTGTAAAATTTGTATGTAAAATTCCGCGATCAACGGTAAACTGTTCTCAGAACACCTAATTCTGTGTCTGCTATTTTGTGGAACAAGTGATACAGACTATGCCCGAAAAGGGGTCATTTGGGGTGTTTGTACTGTTCTGTGTGTTCTGTAACACTTGTTCCACAAAATAGCAGACTCAGAATTAGGTGTTCTGAGAACAGTTTACAGTTGATCGCGGAATTTTACATACAAATTTTACAAGCGATCAGATGACAGTGCACTGTACATAGCCCTATATGTACTTCAATGATAAATCTACTGGGAGAGTCTGCTATGACAGAAATATGGGGTAACACCAGTGATCTCCTCCTAGTTGCTTGACTGACTCGCTGACTTCCATTCTTTTTAAGTCTCTGACCTAGAGCAAGTATTCATATCATCAAGAAAGTTCTTATTCCATTACATAGCTATAACAAATCAATGACTCAAAGTATTAAAGCCAGAGGCTCATCATGACAGCTCGGAAAGTGGAATAAAAAAAAAAATTAGCAATAGCAGTCTCTATGTTTCTCTTATAAGTTTTCTTTAACATACTCATAGACATTATCAGGGGCACACAAATGGAACAAAATTTGAGCATAGGCCCCACCATATCTCACACAAAAAAACCCTCAACTTTCCTATCCAGAGAATGAGGTTCCTGAATAGAAAGTGTGTCATGCCATCTTATTCCTTACAGTATGTATTGTGAGCACACAGTAAATACATTAATAAAGGGAAGGATAGTTTTGGTTAGGTCCACTGACATCATGGCCCTGATTTACTAAAGTGCATAAATGGCATCTAGGTGCATTTCCGTAGGCTAAAGTCTACTTTTCATTGGAATCTGTCTATGTTTAGACGGCAAAGACATTTACTGAAGAAACAATCTAACAAGTAGACGTGAAAGCAAATTTATTACTGGACACAATAAAGGAATCCATCTAAAAAAGCAGACGTCCTAGAAGGCACGTCTAAAGGAACGCAAAATCTCTGTAGAAACATGTTCACATTGAAATTTGCGCTATCACACTTTGAATGACAATTGCGCGGTCATGCAACACTGTACCCAAATGAATTTTTTACAATTTTTTTGAGACAGATAAAGCTTTATTTTGGTGGTATTTATTCACCGCTGGGATTTTTATTTTTTTTTCTATGTAAATGAAAATCCAAAAATTTATAAAAAAAGTGTTTTTTTAAATAAAAATTTGCAAATAAATAATATTTCATCATAAATCTTGGCCAAAATTTATTCCGTTATCTTTTTAGTAAAAAAAAAAATCCAAAATTAGTTTATAACCAAAAATTATAATTTTTTAAAACATTTTTTTACATTTTTTTTTTATATTATTATTTTTTATTTTTTTTTTTTACATACTGTCACCCTAGCAGTACAGTGTCAATCATTTCTCTTTCTCTCTGTCTGCATTCTTGCACTCATTGAGAAGTACTGAGTAAGCTGTGATTGGTCACAGCTTGTCACATAGTACAAGGCTGTTGTGAATAGCCTTGTACCATGTTACCTCTGTGATCATTCACAGATTTCACACGTAGTAAGCAATGATGTCACAAGTGACATCTTGCTTACTACTTTGCATGTGATCACTGATTGGCTAATCTGTGATCACATGATCGGGACCTCGTACAGAGGTCCCGTCCTACGATCGGTGTTTCCGGAGGACACAGCAGGCACCGGATCACGGTGCTGCGCTCACAGGGAGTGCGCACAAGCAGGGTGCGGGGCGGCCGTTTATAAATGGCCACCCGACCCTGCACTGCCACCGTCCGGCCGTTTATATGCAACGGCCGGTTGGGAAGTGGTTAAAGAATATATTCCTTTTCAAAAAAAATTTTCAGTAGGCAAGAATTAGGTTTTTTTAGGGAATTCATGACAGTCAAGAACTAGACGCCTTTCCAACGTCTATGCACAGATAGAAATGCGCATGCGCAGAACACAATTTAGCCGTCCACCGTGGGCACTTTTTTTTAAATGCTGTTTAATAGAAAATCTCTTGGAGTCCTTTGCAAGACGGCAATCGTGCCCGTCAACTGTGTTTCACAAACAGCACTATTTTTAGCTAGGCATATCTTTATGTATTCTAATTTGATTTCCTTAGTTCTATTGATTCTATTTTTGTTTCTTATCCTTTATAATGATTTTCTGTAATGGTTTTACATATTTCGAAGATCTAGATAATATATATTATTGACAGCTGAATCTAAAAATAAAGGTCAGCAATTAAAAAATAAAAAACTAACGGCGTGGGGTCCCCCCTCTCATTCATACCAAGCCCTTCGGGTCTGGTATAGATTTAGAGGGGAAGCCCCATGCCTGGGGGGGCTGCGGGCGTGGGGCTTATTGGAATCTGGAAGATCATGCCCCCCCCCCAGTTGAATGAGTATGGGGTACATGGAACCCCTACACATTCACAAAAAAACTAAAAGTGTAGTGTGAAAAAAAACAGGACACGGTCTTTGAAAAGTCCTTTATAAAAAGAAAAAAGTAAAAGAATGAAGTAGATCCAATGTCAAACAGGATGCCGACCATCACCGTCGCTGCTGCTGCCACCCTGAAAAAGAATTTTAAAAAAAAGGCTCCGCTCCCTATGATGGCTCCAGGCCGTCTGCCTGTGAGCTGGTTTGACAGTTCTTAAATATGTAAGGGCCAGGGCCACCTGGGGACATCAGGCATGTGACCACACCTCAGGTGTCATCAATGATGTCACATGGGGCAGAGTCATTCAGGTGATGTCCCCGGGTGGACCCGCCCCTTATATCTTTAAGAACTGTCAAACCACTGGAGCAAGCAGGGAGTCATTGTTGGGAGCGAAGCCTTTTTTTTAAATTCTTTTTTCGGTGGCGGACATCGTGATCGACATTGGATCTACTGCGGGGGACATTCTTTTAGTTTTTTCTTTTAATAAAGGACTTGTCAAAGACCGTGTCCTGTCTTTTTTCACACTACATTTTTTGTTTTTTTTTGTGACTTTGTAACATTCATTAGGAAGTGCATTAGTTGGCCGATCATTTTTGGAGAAAAAAAAGGCAAGAAAATTAATAGAGGCAACAATATTAGCAGCAAAAAAAAAAAAGCCTAAAAAGCTATTAAAACAAGGCACACCTGAGTTTTCTCATCTGGCACACAAATAAATGTGAATGGGACAAAGCCCGCTCTTGTGCACCACCTAGGGACCATATCCAGCATTGCTCCTACAAATGCGCCTATGGTGTCTAGATATTTACGAAGAGAATTCTGTCTATGTGTTAGACGCTTTTCAATCTGCCTGCTAGACGTTTTTTGGACCACTGAAAGGTCTTAATGGATTGCATTGAGTCTAACTGAATGTTCAGCGTCTGCTGTTGGGCAGACTTCTTAGTAAATCAGGGTCTATAGGTCTGGGAGCGGGTTTTTCTTCCCAACTCCACTAGTCAGGCCTAGGATATCTTATGATTGTTAAAATGTTAATTTTAGCAATTTTGGAAAATGACCTGGATGTCTACAGGGAACAAAAATCAGCAGAAACGTCTTAAAAGAAAAGAATATTGATTGGGCTGGAAATCTTCACCTTTGCTTGATGGTGTTTGAAGGTTTTGATGTTCAAATAAATTACATACATAGAATAGCAGAATGAAGGTTATTGGTAGGCTTTTATCTGTAGTTTGCTTTAGAGCCAGGAATTGATTCACCGTGAAAATATAGAGTGCTAATATTCACTAGACTCTTACGTCAACATCAGAATATTTCCTGGGGAAAGCTAAGAAATATTCAAGACCCAATCAATACTATTTCTAATTCTCTTCAAACTAGCATTATAGGGTCTTATCTCCCAAACTATTTGAAAGATGTGTCATTACTGACTATAGCAATTTATTTCATCTTTTCATTCTGCGCTGAGAAAAAATATGACTTGACTGCTGTGAACAACAGACAGTTCTTCTTTCAGGCACTTTCATAGGGTAACCCGGTGAAAATGACAAGAGTGAACAATAACCAGTCAGCTTTTATCAATGCAAAGTACCTCGACTGATCTATGATTGCTTAGTCAGTAATACTTTTTGCCATTGCTTTTGAAATCTTAAATGTATCTATAGCCCTCCTAAAAAGAAAAACATGACACAAAAAAGAAGAAGCAGAGCCATATGCAGAAGGCACAATGATTCAGAAAGTTTTTTCTATCTAGTATCTATAGCACATTATGTAAAATGAAATCAAGAAAGAACAAGCAAAAGCGTCAAAGGCAAAAGAACTTGTCCAGAAAATTGCATAGAGAAAGTGAAAGATGAAGGCTTGAGTTGCAGAACTTCAGAAATCCAAGCAGAGAGAAGAAGGAAGAGAGTCAATAAAGAAATAATTCTTTCAGTGATCTGATCTACTTTTCCTTATAATTGTACTGTTTAAATAATTTATTAATAATTCACAGTTTAAAAGTCTAGCTGGATCTTTAAAAGAATTAATTTTGCTAAGGCTATAGTACAATATGACCTGATCTTAGTTCCTGTGTCAATATCTGTCATAATCATAAACCATATATTAGAAATATTGGACGTTACTATTTGTAATATGGAGAGGGTTTCCACACCTGTGACTCCAATCCTGCATTTTTAGCAGAAAATGATGGCCGCGGAGCTTGTACAACAGTTTTGTTTCGAGGAGATGACACTCTGGTGTTTAAAAAAGGAACTGGTGAAATAGGGGAGGCCGAGTTGGTTGGAGTCATTCTGCCAAAGTTGGTGGAAGTGTCAGCAGCAGGGGGTGGTGACATTGCAGAAGAAGATGATCGGACTGACTGGAAATGCGGTGGAGAATAGACTGTGGGAGAAAGAACCAAAGGCGAGGATGGGCAGGAAGATTGTCTCGTTATCCGATGAGATTCAAACACCATGGGTTTGGGAGGAGGTGCTCCTTTGGGAAGTGAGCTTACAGGATCTTTCGTTGGTGAGAGGATGAACAGAGAAGGCTGAAGTTGGTATGGCTGACGTTTAGATATTTCAAGTTCCTTTTGAGACTGCACACTCTCTGCGTCAGAATTGGGGGTTTGCGTAGCAGAGGGAGGCACAGGTGATCTTTGGTTGTTTTTAGGCAGGTGACTGAGTGGAGAAGGTGGAGTCCTGGCATTCATAGCATACTTCCAAGAAGGTGGTAGTGACATAGTAGGAGAAGGTGATCGCACAGTGTCAGGAGACTCAATCACAAAACGTTCCATTCTGGATTGCCTCCGAGCAAACAATTCTGCACCTTTCCCTTTATCTTCAGCTAGAGCTTGCTGTATTGGTACAGGTGGTGGCTTTGCTCTGACACCAGGAGACTTAAGACCAGATGACCAGTCTACAACTGTGTCTAAGCTTTCTGTAATGTGTGTTGCATTAGGTGACTTAATATTTTGGAAATTGGAAGCTTCAGCTCCAAGAGCAAATGACTCATCCTCTATAGCTACACTTCCATGCTCTCTGTGCTTTCGACGGTCATCTGAATTTTGCACCATAGAAAGAAGATCAGGATTAGGGGCCATCTTTGGCTTTTCAATGAAGGTGAACATGGACTTTCTAGGCCCCCGACGTGCTGAAATGGAGTCTAAAATGCCAGTTTTTGGTTGAGGTGTTAGTCTTATCTCTCCATGGTTTATTACTTGCTGGACAGGGACAACATCCTGGGGTTCAGAGGGGTATAATGCAGAATAAGAAGGTGGAGAACGAACGCGGGTGACTGGAGGGGACTTGATAGGGTTTCTGCATAAGTAGGTGGAGGAGGGAGATCAATGGTAGGACTTTTTTCTGGTGAGGATACACTTCTTTTAACAGGTAACTGACCTCCAAAGGGCCTAGCTGTTCTGTTAGCCACAGATGCTGGTTTGGACAGAGTAAGGTGTACTTCACAGTATTGTGTGTTTTGAGTGCTATTTCGCTCTTTCAAAATAGGTGATTCTGTCTCTTTGCCGTTGTCAGTAATCAAACCATTTGTGTTAGAATTGGTTACTACCAAAGTTTCCTTCAGACACTCACTTAAAGGTTCTTGATGGTCTTCCTCAGAAGCACTAGGAGAAGGTGCTCGTTTATCTATAGGCAGATAATCAGCTTCTTTAACCTCATCTACCCATACATTATCTGTTTCCCTTGTGCTCCCATGGTCAGCAGACGTCTCTTCCATATTGCTGAAACGTCTTGGTTGTCCAAAGCCAAAAAGAGATTCCTCTCTTATAGACTGTGAAAAGCGTGCATCATACTGAATTTGGTTAAGCTGTGGATTCTTGGTGGCCTGTAACTGAGCCTGTTTGGCAAGCTTCTGCTCCTCAAAAGCTTTAATTTTTTGACGTCGGCGGTGAAAAAGTTGAGCTCCCCTAGAACAACTTCCTGTTGGATTCAGTTGGGATGAACTGTTATCACTAAGAGACTGTGCTTCCCTCAGCTCTTTCTCTGTAAGGCTGATGCTTCTTGGAATATCTATGGAAAACAAAAATAATGTGATTTACTAAATTTGAATTATTTTCTTGCATCATATAAAATATTGAAACATGGGATTACCAATATTGTATTTTTCCTTTCAATACATGACTATGTTGTCCAGTCTTCACAATCAATTTAAGGTAATAAGGTATCTTTTGTTACAATAACTAATGTGATTGGTTACTATGAGTACAAATATTTAGCATTTTATCATTGTTCTTGGTAATACCTATAAAATAAGCTGTATTTATTGTAGCAAGGTAATTGCTAATCATATTCCTGCCTATAGTAAACTGAGATATAATTGACTGCTTTGGGCACTTTTATAACATTTTGTATACATTTTTATAACAAATTGTCATTGCACTGTAGACCATTTTATAAAGGAAGCAATCTAGTTTACAAAATGTTTAAACAGATATTTTGCAATACTTTCAGCTTTTTCCAATATTAAATATTTTATAAAAGGACAGGCAGATATAATTAATTATGTCTAGTGCTGATAAAGATCACTACTTTTACTTCTGAACCATCCACTGAAAACTTAGTACAGAGGGCACAGAGTTGATCTTGAATCAGTCACCTTTATAGTCACAGAAAAAAATATGTTCTCACCTAGCTTGACCTCAGGTAAGCCCCATAATTTCTCAACAAAGAACTAATATTTAGGGGTAGATTTACTAAAACTGGTGCACTCAGAATCTGATGCAGCTGTGCATGGTAGCCAATCAGCTTCTAACTTCAGCTTGTTTAATTAAGCTTTGTTAATAAATCCGGGAAGCTGATTGGTTTCTATGCAAAGCTGCAACAGATTTTGTACTCTCTAGTTTAGTAAACTGGGTCTACAATTTTTATCCCTTTGAAAAATGTGTTCATATTTTAAAAAGTCAATCCTACCAAATTTGATATCTCAGATATAAGTGAATGTAAACCTGCTTCCTATTTCTCTGGTCGACACCACTGCTGAACCATTCACCTACTCCACTATATGAACTAAGGAGAGGGGGTGCTTTTCCTGTTGGATTTGCATATGCTTTACATGGAATATCACAACAAGGAGACTCAATAATGAGACAACTTGAGGTGGGAACTCCAGCGAGAATGATCCTGCAGCTGATCACAGGATGATTGTGTTTTATGTGTGATATACATTATGTGTGATTTATATGTTCCTCTATGCGGTGACCAATTTTCTTGCTGTTCTTCCTACATATTGCCACCCACAAGGACACTCTAGATTGTATGTCACATGTGCTTTCACATGAAATAAACTTTTTTGTATCTTATGTCTGCGAGGTGTTAACCTAAAGTTATTTTTCTCTCTTACATGTAAAGAAACCAGTTTGTTCAAAAAATGTAACAGTTTTTTTTTGGAGGTTCAAGGGTGTTATGCACTAGTTTGGTTCTTAATACTGGAGCTTTTTTTTAGATAAACTTAGGTTTCCTTGGCAAAATTCTATGCATGAAGGTAAAAAAAACCTTCTGTGTGTAGCAGCCCCCCAGCTCCCCATAACACTTACCTAAACCCCATCCCGATCCAGCGATGTCCATGAGAGCCTCGGTTCTCTGGGGATTCTCGCTCCAGATTGGCTGAGGCATTGGCACCCACTGCTATCAATCACAGCCAGTGAGCCAAGCAGAAAAGGAAAGGGGTGGGGCCGAGCTCTGTGTGTGAATGAATGGCTCGGGAGAGCACCTGTTCGGGTTCCCCCATAGTAAGATGCTTATTGTGGGAGCACCAGACAGGAGGGAGGGGCCAGGTGCGCTAGAAGGGGACCAGAGAAGAGAAGGATCCAGGCTGCTCTGTGCAAAACCACTATATGTTATTTCTAAGAAAAAAAACTCCAAGACTTTAGTATCACTTTAATATATTATCCTTCAATAAAATGGGCCAATACTTTTAAAAATTATTTCAACCTTCAAAAATTGTTTATTGTATTGTGTAATAAAAGCCACATCATAGTGTTTATTTGTTTGTTCCTTATCCCGCAATAGGTCTTCTCTATTCATCATTCCAACCACCCTCCTTAAACATTTTATTATAACATTTATCAACAAATCTGTTTATTATAACATTAGTATTATCTATATATTCACTACTCAAATCACAATTTCTTTTTATCCTCATCAATTGCCCTTTTAGTATCCCTTTTATTCAGTTTTTCCCTTTTATTCACAATTTCTTTTTATCCTCATCAATTGCCCTTTTAGTATCCCTTTTATTCAGTTGGGATGGGGGCAACTTTTTTGGGTAAGTAATTATTCTGCTCAGTCTCCTTAAAGAGCATTTTAGTACATAGTTTCCCTTCATGCCTACAAATCACCAAATCCAAGAAATGTACTTTTTAGTCACATCCTCCAGTGAATAAAATGCTATATCTATTTCTGTTTATACTTTCCATAACTTCTGCAAATAATGCACTGGCCTGGCCTTTGCATTTAGGTCAGCTGTCTTAGGCCCCATGTACATGGGACACTTCTGAATTATGGAAACTGACTGTTGGAAAACGGTGATAAAAAAAAGTCTGTTTAGCCACGTTTGCATACCATGTTTATGCGCATTTGCATTTAGAAGCGTTTTTTTTTTTAAGATAACCTCAGGAGACCTTCCAAAATGCCAAGAAAGCACTGAAAAACATTTTGAGAGAAATAGAGAGAGCAGAAGCAGAGAAAGCAGTATTTGTTGAGATTAGCTGTCTTTTATTTTGTGGTATTTGGATGTGTTCCAGCTCATTTCTGTGCAGAAATTATTGCAGCAGTGTCTAACATATTTTCTTTCATGCAAACCCTCAATGTATGGTGTGCCAGGTCCATTTGAGTACCGGGAAAACACTCTGCATGCGTTTTTCATAATGAAAAAAGGCTCTGGACATCATCTGGAGATGAAAGAGTTAAAAAAAAACTGCAAACGCCTATAAACGCGGTTAGCTGCGTTTACATGTGTTCACAAGAGTTTTGCGTTTGAAACGCTGAAAAAATCTACTCCTGAATGCAAGTTTTCTGCGTTCAAAAAAACGACTGTAAACTCAGCTGCCTGTAAACGACTGTAAACGATATAGTGTATGTGGACACATAGGAAAACATTAGGGTGAGTTCGGGGGCTGATGAAAAAATGCTGAACAGCTCCTAAATGTGAGTTTATCAGCTGCAGTATACAGTACATGAGCCCTTAGAAAGACCAATACAGGGACTTTTAGATAAGCCACCCCCTCACCTTGCAGCCAATTTGACAATGTGCTTAACCTGTGATAGGAAAAGCATAGGAAGTGCTACTGATAAAGTTGCACCCATAGTAGCACCAAACCTGAGCCTTGTCCCTAAAAATATAAACTGAAAATAAAGATAAGCACTTCCAGAGCACTATTTATGGTCACGAGGGTCAACATTGTGAAGAGCCATCACACATACTATAATTATAGATCAAGAATGGCAGGAATGACAGGTCAGACATAACATGCATTATCTTACATAATATTTTTATTTGTCTTTATCTGTTGTAAGTTTTGAAAGACCAAAGAGCTCTTATCTTACAGACATGGGGTTATTTGGTTGTTAACTGGGCTGTCTATTACCTTGTTTCTGGCCAGTTTCTATAACGTTGCATTTCTAAGTGGAAGGAGGAGGGATTCCCTTTATGACAGGAATGTATGACATACCAGACAGTGTAGAGACAAAAAAAAAAGGTAAAATATCATAACAAAGATGCGTCAAAGAAAAAATACCTTCAAATGGTAAAAAACATAATTACTACTACAAAGGTCTATGTGCGTGATGCAGTAAGACTGCATTCCTATGCAGTGGAACAGCTGTTGGGACCTTCCACACTCAATTGTTTGTCTTCTAGATGCATGTGAAACCTTCTAAACTGTCTACAAAGAATCCAGTCTGGCCAATGATATTATTGATGACCTCACAGTATTAGCAGCCACAGGAACACTGATAGGCTTCTGAATATGGCTTAATGTTTTCAGGACAATGGGGTTCTCCAGGAATCTCTAACCCCGTGATCTCTCCAAAACACTGTCCATGTTCTAGAAAGTAGGTTCACTGCAATTGTGCAGGTTAATCTTAGAACAAAAAATCAATCTTGAAGCGTAATAATGATAAAAGGCAAACTCTTATAAGCTTTGTGCAGAGGCATGAAAAATGTATGTCTTTGGGTTCTGCAACTGCAAGGTTAAAAGAGCATGGCACCCCTTGGTAGTCCAGAGCCAACCAGCTAAAGGTAACATCAATGCAGATCTTTTTAACTGGTCAAAGGCTGGAAAACTTCTATAGTTCAAGAGCAGCTTTAGAGTGGTTCTAAAGTCAAAACATGTTTACCTTAATGTATTCCCTGCATTAAAGTGGTTCTAAAGGCATGGGTTTCTTTTTTACCTTAATGCATTCTATGCATTAAGGTAAAAAAACCTTCTATGATGAGCTTCCTCCAGCACCCTCTTAAAGTGTTACTAAGCCCAGAACTCTGCATTCACTCTGTTTGGTCTCCCACAGTACACACTACATCAAAATGTAGTTATTTTAGTAACTATAAACTGCTAAATACATTTTCTCATCAGCAGTTAGAGCAGTCTTGTAACTTCTATCAGTGTCCAGCACAGCACTGGATAAAGCTTGTAGGAGGAGTTTTCTTTCTGCTCTAGGAGGATGCAGAATTCCTAACTCTCTGTCTGGACAGTGCTGATTGGCCCTGTGCTAATCACA